GGGTATATATACACAGAGTAGGTCACGAGAGTACAACCTCCTGTGATAATAAATCTACATACTCGTCTGCTATATGAATAGTATCTGTACATCACTGCTAGGGAACCTGGTGTCAGTTTCATCATATTCACACACACATATATATATATATTTACTCAAAATACAAATGATTATGTAGAAGGTGAGTTGGCGTTTTAATGCAACTAAAACTCCATAGACAAACTAAATGATAGAAAGAAATAACAAATGAATGATAAACACAAATATAATAATAAAAAAAAATAATTTGCTATCTCACAGCTCTTTTCTATTTACAATGTATGAACGAAACATGCCATTCGCAGACTCAGAAACATTGTATTTCATCTCAATTTGCAGATACTGGGCTATCTGGAAAAGTCCCCCAGACATATCTCTAGCATCTAGTAAATTCTAACTTATCTTAAATCAAATATAAGAGTGGCGTAAGAAATGGTATGTCAAAATAAATCCATGAAAATAAAAAGATAAGATAGTCTGCTTTACCAGATCACCAAAACTTAATAAACAGCTACCAAAATTATTCCTCTAAGGAACTCTGCTCCAGATTAGCTATATCAGATAAATTCCTTGATCTCATTTATGAATTTAACTTAGATAAAATGCATCAACGATATCAGAAATAAAATTAGAAAAAGAGAAGATACCGTGAGAAGTATAGCTATCAACACTATAGATACATCGCCAGAAAATATTCTAAAATTTATTAAGCTTACATCAGACCTGCAATTGAATATGCTTATCCAGCCTAACTATATGTCGCAAAATGAATGCTTTCAAAATTACAAGCCATCAAAAATTCAGTACCTTCAGAGAACCAAGAAATTTATTCATGAAGTTTTTGCGTGATTAGGTAAACCTTCTTTTGTTGCTGGACCAATTTCCAGAATGTTCAATAAATTATTAAAAAAACTTAACTAAAAATTAACTTTGTTGTGCATGATAATAATTGGGCAAATTACCTTTCCCCAGTAAATATCTATTCAGTTCCCTATCAAAAACCACCAAATATGTTTTGTAGGAACGTTAGTACTTGAACAAGCACAAACGAAATTTTAATCAAATTTACTGGGTCCAAGGATTTGGTTGATAAGGATAGAGAGGTTATAAGGTATACCTACAGTATTAATAATTTACATTATTTTTTTACCGTTCGTTGCATGATCCTACTCTACATCCCTGAGCTTACACTCAATATCATGGAAGGAGGAAGGGGGTCAAACTTGCATCAGACCTTCCTGGGCCACCCATCATCTTGATAATAAACACGGCACAGAAACAGTCACTTTGCTGTTATTTGGTTATAGGAAGTAAGTTAACAAATGTGGCGCCATACTAAACAGTATCTTTATAATGCCATGTGCTTCAGCGATATGATATGAATCTATAAAAGTAGGTTTGTTATATGTTATTTATCTTGTTGATTGTATGAGTGTTTTATTAATTAATCCCCAGTTCCAAACGTTATGTATCATTAATTTATTATTTTTAATATATAATTAATTTAGTTTTACTTGTCGATTGCATATAAATCATTTGTGTGTCTTAAGTCGTATACAATAATGAATTTTACTTATT